TACATTATTCATTTAGTTGCATTATTTGTTTAGTTACATTATATTTTAGTTACATTCACCCTTTATTTGCATTATTCATTTAGTTACATTAACCCTTTAGTTACAATATTTGTTTAATTACATTATTTGTTAAGTTACATTATCTCTTTAGCTACATTAACCATTTAGTTACATTATACAGTTACATTATGCATTGAGTTACATTATGCATTTAGTTACATTTTTGATTTACTTTATCTCTTTAGTTACATTATCTCTTGTTACATTAATCATTTAGTTACATTATTCCTTTAGTTATATTGATCATTTAGTTACATTATTCCTTTAGTTACATTAATCATTTAGTTCCATTATTCCTTTAGTTACAGTATCCACTTTATTACATTATTCCTTTAGTTACCAAATTCCTTTGGTTACATTATTCCTTTACTTATATTATCCATTTAGTAACATTATGTCTTTAGTTACATTATTCATTTAGTTACACTGTGCCTTTAGTTACATCCCTTCCTCAGACAGATCATTGTTCTTACTGGAGTTGATAATATTCAGTGTATGAACGTTTCTGCCCTGAGACGACTTCTGTTGGGACTTGGCTCCGAATAAATAAACTGAAATGAATTATTCCTAATTATTAGCCACGCCCCTTTCAATAATTTGCTCCTTTTAAGGCTGAAATGTTTACCTGAAGCAAAATATGTGGGAAAAGACACGCTTTCGTTTAAACTGTATGTATTTAAAAAATAAAAATAACAATGTCACATCAGTAAAAATCACTTTTCGGTCCGTGTTGGCAGCGAGCGGTTGCAAAAGGCAGCAGATGCAAAGAGAAGCGGTGGCATCCCACAAAAGACACAAAAGAGGGTCCGATGCCAACGCCGGTGCCAGTGGCAACCATTATTGTCTCTGCTGTGCCTTCTGCTGTCCCTGGCACTTATCAAACACAAAATGGCGCTCAGGGTTTGATGATAATGAGCTAGCTAGACACCCCCCCCCCCCCCCCCCCGAGCGTCTCTACCTCTGTTCAAACCGTCATGGAGGGCATTCCTGCGCAGACGAGCGCCACGTGCAGCGTTCGAAAGTTTGGAGGTCGGGAAAGATGCAGGAGTGAAAATTAAAATCCAGTTTATCACCTGGACTGGTAGAAAACGTGGCTGCATCTGTTTTAAAGTAAAATTTTCCTACAGAAAGGGTTCAAACGTCACGTTTTTTACATAAATAAAAGACTTACAGATAACATTTAATAATTTATAACGATTTAATAATTTTTTTTTACATTTTATTTTGGCGCTTTTAATGTTTGTTTCAAGACTGAAAGAGAAGCAGATTTAAAAAGCAAACAAACTAATTGTTAAAATAAATAAATAAATAAATAACAACTCTAAAAAAAATAAGACTCTTTTCAGGAAAAACCATTTCAGCACGTCCGGATCTTCATCACGGCTTTAGATTAAAAATGTAATAATTTATATTGAAATGTCAAACATAATGTGTTGCTATGGATTATAAAAGCAAGTTGTCACTTTTTTATTTTATTCGCACGACGACGACAATAAGTTGTTTTAAAACCTCAAAGTGTAAAATAACGTAACTCAAGTGGTTTAATAAAAAAATTAAAATAAGATAAATGAGGCAGAAGTGAGTTTAATGGAGTTTACTACACTTTTTAAAAAGTATTCATCTATAAATTGAGTGAATCAGAAAGGGTGTGTGTTCATTTGGACACACACACACACACACACACACACACAGTCCCAGTTAAACTGTGGAGCGATCACAGAACTGAAGCTGCTGCAGAACAGCTGAGAAGAAAAATAATAATAATCGAGGACAGAGAGAAATGTTTCGTATTAAAAACATTTTGGAGCTTCAAAGAGAGAAACTGTGTTCAGATGAGCGGACGCTCCTGTTTCTGTTTATTCGTGTGCTGAACAGAGGAGGAGACAAAAACAAACACGTGTGACCTCTGACCTCACACACACACACACACATACAGACGGCGTGGGACTGGACCTACCTTGGTCCTGGACGTAGTACGCTAGAAACAAGTCCAGCTCCTTGACCGACACGGTTATGTGGTGCGGCTGGACACAAAGTGCGGGGTTGGTGCAATGTGGAGACTTGACGAGCCGCTCGCCGTCCGTACTTTCCAGAGGGATGCCTTTGAAGAGGATGACCATCACCAGGTCCAGACGCCAAACTTTGTCGGCCTGCCGTAAGCAGTCGATTCGGCGGATCTTGCCCTTCTGGTCCGGGTTGGAGAGCACGCAGCACGGGGGCTTCTTCCCCGTCACGCTGAGGACGAAGTCCTCCCGGTACTCCTGCCGGATGTCCTTGCGCAGCTTGGCCAGCAGCCTGGACGCCCACTTCTGCTTGATCTCGGGCTTCTCGCTCAGGAGCTCGTCCTTCACGGCGCGCTCCTCGTCCTTGGACATCCGCTTCTCGTGCTTCTTGAAGTACTTGCGCTTGCGGGCCTGGAGGTTGAACCACGTGTAGGCGATGGCCCGGACGTGGGGGAGAAGTGCCTCGATGAAGGGATGGAACTCATCCTGGAGGGTGGGGACACAAGAGACGGGGACGGTTAGTCGACAAAACGCAAAGACAGGAGCCAACGTTGAGTTTACTCCAGGACAAGAAGATCCATCCCAGAGCGCAACGGATTCATTCAGGAAAAAAAACAACACAGTTTACAACAACGTCGCCCCCCCCACCTCTGATCCACATCCTGAACTTATCCCACGTTTACTGAGAACAGAGGATCAGAACAGGATGGAGTCGCAAAATAGGAAGTTAAGAAGATTCCCCGTCTAACACACACACACACACACACACACAGGCTCAAATGTTCAAGCTGTGTCCAAAAACAAGTCTCAAACAGAAAGGACAAATAGGACAAAAGCTGAGGACTGTTAGCTAAATTTGAGCTTTTTTGATTATTATTATTATTGAAAATATTTTTATTATTCACACTATTGTGATCCTGTTAATATTTCTTCTTCTTCTGACTACATTGTCTATTCCGTACGTTTTTCAGCATCTTTTCACAATTTTTGTGCCATTTCAACAAATCATAAACCAAAACGTTCGGCTCATTCAGGACAACCCTGCTATGACTTTTTGTATTGGTGGAACTTTAGCTTTTTGAAATATTTAGCCTTTTCTGCCATTTTTGGTCTCAGAAAATGAATTCAGCTCATTTTACATCCTTCAGATGTGTTCACAACCTTTTACTGCTCCTTTCACGTTTTGTTCTGCTTCAGCTTCTTTCAGCTTCCTTGTGCAATTTTTTTTTTAAATCAGCTATTTTCAGCTGTTTTGTGCTCCTTTCTGCTTTATTCTGCTAACTACAACATTTTTGTGCTTCTAACTTCTTTCTTCTAATTTCAGCTTGTAAGGCTCTTTTCAGCTTATGTCTGCAGGTTTCAGCTATTTCAGCTACAATTTAGCTGTTTTATGCTAATTTTAGCTAATTCCACTTTTATTGCACTCATTTAAACTTTTTTCAGCCTAATTCAGCAAAAATGTGCTCTCTCTCCACTTCCTTCTGGTAATTTAAGATTATTTTTGCTTTTTAGCTACTATTCGGCTGATTTTTGCAAATTTCTGTATTTTTCCAGATAATTTCCACTTTTTTTATGCTCATTTCTGCTTCTTTAAGTCTAATTGGGCACAACTGTGCTCTTTCCACTTCCTTCTGGTAATTTAAGCTTCTTGATTACTTTTTTAGCTACTATTAAGCTGTTTTGCTTATCTCAGGTTTTAAATGTAATTTACAATTTGTTTTAGCTCATTTCTGCTTATTTAAAGCAAATTCAGCAAATATGTGTTCTTTCTGCTTTCTTCTGCTAACTTAGGCATGCTCCTCCATTTCAGCTACATTTCAGCTGATTTTCAGCAAGTTCTTCTGCAATAAGCATTCACACTTGCGTTTTCGCAGGAAATGCAATTTCTCTCGTTTTTATTCGTTTCACCCTCCAAGACTGAAAATCTGTTTCATTAAAAAAGTTTGAGATTAGTAATCATTGGAACTGAAAGCAGCCGTTTTAAATTTGTTTCATTTTCCGACACTTGAAGCGCTTTTTTTTTTTTTTTTTTTTTTGGTCATTTTATGTGAAAGCTGAAAAACGGAGCGATGAACAAAATCTCCTTTGGATTCTGTTTAACACAAACAAAACGACTGAAAGCCCAGCAGTTTCTTTTCCACGCAGAGTAATCCCAGTTAATCTGACGGATTACGTGAACGTAGGTGAGAAACTTGAACTCATCTTTCTCCTCCATCATTAAAACGTCACGTTTAAAAAGCCGCTGCAGTCGCTCAGAAGCAGCTTCGGAGGAGTCAAACCGCACGTTGTTCTTTTCGAAGGCGTTCGGGCGAAGCGAGCGATGGGAGACCACAGGGCACCTCCCCTCGCTGTCCCTGCTCCTCCACGGAGCCACGCTCCGGGTCGGCGCAGGCCGACTCCAATCGTAAATAACTTGGTGAAACTCTGCAGATTGTGCTGGAACGACCGAGGCGTCGCTTTTTAATCTATTTGTAAACAAAAGAGTTGTTAAAGAGAAAAAGAGCTCTCCTCGCCGTGAACACAAATAAACTGACAAATACCTCAACAGTAAAGTCTGGAATCTGGCTTAAAACTCTTAAAATATCCAGTTTATATTTTTAAAGCCTGTTAACTTATATAAGGAAATTAATAACTTTTTAAACTACAAATTGTAAATAAAAAAAAAAGATAATTTCGTTAAAGTCCGGTTGTTTTTCTTCCCATTTATAAACACTAAAAATAAATAAATAATAAAAACATAATTGTTAATGTGATTTCCTCACTATAAATACAACTACTTAAATAATAAACAGTTCTCCTATTTAAAGCAAATTAAATCAAACGACTCAGGTGAGAAAACTTTATAAACTCCTCCGATTGTTGATTTAAAAATGGAGTCAGCGCGACTCCGGCTGCTTTCTTTCCCCGTCCCTAAACTGTAATAAAATAATAAAATCTGATTATTTTTATCTCCTCGCTCCAAATAAACCGACTATTGTGACAAAACTAAATCTGATAAATGTGTTCAGCACATGTTTATGCCAAAAACCCTGACGGATTCTTCACATATCCTCGTCGTTTATATATATATTTTTCCATACAGGCTAAAGTTTTCTTTAAAAAAGCTAAAAGCTGTAAAGGACGTGGCCTCAGCCTGTCTGTGTGTGCGGTTCTCTTCATCTGGGGGCCATAAAAGCACAATCCTCTTAAGCGCAAACTAAACCACATCTCAGTCAATCACTGACTTATGCCAAGTAAAATATAAACAGTCAAAGTGAGTCAGCCAAAACAGTCTGCAGCCCCGTCCAAAACCTCCGAATCAACCTTATCAGGCGCTCCATCTCCATTTAAAGGAGGAAACAGCTTCATCTCCCATCCCAACACTGGTTTTAGTTACTTTATATTTATAAATGTGTTGTTTAATGGCGACTGGATGAGAAGTTATTAAACGATGAGAGGTTGAACGTGAGAAAACGCATTTGGAGACGTCTTTACGCACAACTTTTACGCACAACGACGCTGATATTGATTTTTTTTTTTTTTGTCAGCTAAACTAAAAATTGTGCTCAAATTCAAATATATTAAAGTTAAATCATTACTGGGTGTGTTAGAGGTTAAATGGGACCAGTTTGAGTTGGTTAGGTTGGCTTTTTTCAGAGAGAGAATTGTGCGCATTTTAATTTTCGTCCCATCCGGAGAGGACTTTCTTTTTTTTTTTTTTTTTATCTCCCCACCTCCAGAGTTCAGACACAGAAAGAAATACCTGAGTTAGACAAATCGGGGAATACATGATGAGGGACTGGACCTCCTCCGGATCACTTCATGGTCCTGGAGCGCCGAAAGACAAGAGAGAGAAAGAGAGAGAGAGCGCGCGCGTAAAAGCAGTAATCCGCGGGAAATAAAACCCCAAAAAATGTAAAATTACAAAAATAAGAAAAAGCACAAAAAAGGGGGGGGATTATCCAAGCAGCTCCATGGAGATTGTCCTCACCGCGGAGAGAAAATAAAAAGAACAGCTCTCGGGTTTCTGCTCGTGCGGGACGTGCGGGCGGGAGCTGCGCACTCGCTTCTCTGCGATGCGTTTTGCGCGTCTTCTCGGTTGCGGAGGTTCAACCCCTCCTCCCCCCCCCTTTCAGACTGGACGTGAAAGCTGCACCTTCGCGGTTTCAGCAAATCAGACCCAACTTTTCTCCCCCTCCCTCCCTCCCTCCTCCCCCCCTCCATCTCACGTAATTACACATGCACACTCCTCCTCTTCGCCGTTTCATAAGAAAATAAAAATAAAAAAAAAACGCCGCAAACAATTCATTTACTCCTCTGAATTAGTTTATGAGCTTCATGAGTGTGTGTGTGTGAAGACTTTGGACCAAACTGTGTGTCAACACTTTGCAACATCAAAGCACAGAATCGCGTCAAACATGCACTTAAATTACAGTAATCATATTCAAGTGGGGAGTTATTTATTATTTTTTTTACAGCCGAATTGTGCTTCTAGGTCGTGAAAATATTTTAAATCAAACAAAACTTGTTAGTGAGTTACTTGCAGGTTTAAATGTGAGCTCGTGCAGAAATTGCTGTTTTTTTCCGCGGAGTTCCGCGCGGCTCGGTTTGCGCTGGAAGGACATAAAGTTCAGCTGCGGCAGTGCGTGAGCGCACACACGCGCGCGCGCACGCACGCCTAAAGAGCTGTCAACCGTCCCGGAACTTCAATCGCCAAATTAAAAGAGATAAGTCGTGTTTCGGCCGCAACGGTTTGCGACAACTTTCGTGCCATTTTTTTTTTTATTTTTTTAAACCACCAAGTTGCTTCAACTTGTCCCGCTTTTCATCGGCGTGACCCAAAGAACCGGACATTTTTAAGCGCACAGCAGTTATCAGAACATTTCAAAGCGGCGTTCACGTACCATTGCATTGTACTGCATGGGTTAAAGGGGTCCTGGAGTCTGGTAGAACCGAGCCGGTAGCTTCACATTTCTTTCAACTTTGGGGTTTTAGGAGGCTTTTCTCTCGTGCAGCGAGAAAAAAAAAAAAGTACACCGGAAGACAATTCTTGGCAGATATCGGTTTGAAGTTATGAGCACTCGCGTGTTTTTTCTCCACTTTTTTTTTCTTGTCGTCTTCCTCTTCAAGTCTGTTTGGGTCGGGTTTTTTTTTTCAGGGGGGTTCGTTCACTGGAGTTGGTCCAGAAGAGGCTGAAGTCTCCGCCTTCACTTTCACTGCCTGACTGACTGTGGCTGACCGACTGCCGCCCTCCGGCTCCCAGCAGCTAACCGTCAAACCAGGCGGAAGTAGAACGCGTCAATTTCCGTCTTGGCTTTTCAGAATAAAACAAGAAATACGTGGAGCTGTGTAAACTTGCTCGACATTTAAATAAATGTAATTTTTTAAATAAAAGTAGAAAAGGAAAAGTTGAGCATTGGAGAGGTTTAGTTTGTGCAATTAAAAAAAATAAACAAATAGCCAAAGGGGAAGAAAAAAAAAGTCATAAATTATGATTCATGCAGAAAATAATTTTGGGTTGATTTCTAATGGGAAAAAGTGAAAGCCACAATATGTTAAAATATGCCCCCTTCCTCCTCAGGATTCTAACTTTAATTTTAAATTATGAAAAGAAAAAAAAACATAATTTTTGCAACAAGATGAAAAAGAAAGAAAAAAAAAAAAGAGCATACTTTTTTTATTTAAGTTCTGTTTATATCAATAACAATGTAGCCTAAAATTCTTTATTTGTGCTCAACACATAATAATAATATTATTAATGATAATAATAATCCAATAATGCTCAGTCAGGTCATCTGGACAGTTTCTTTCTTTTTTTACTTTGTTGCCTTGAATTATAATAATCATAATAATAATAATAATTTAAAGAAATTCATTTGTATCAAAAATAAAGGATTATAAATTTCTAGATTTGGCCAAAATGAATTTCTTTTGTTTACAAATTTAAACAAATAAAAAGCTAAAATGTAGAGACATCCATGCGTATGGGGGGGTGGGGGTTGCGGGGGTGGAGACCCACAATGACTTGTGTTCTCTTCCCCCCAAGAAGCCCAAAGTGGTCCAAGTCAGCTCTGGGAACAGACTTGAACTTGAACTAAACTTTTAAAACGCCCCACCTCTTATTTTGAAGGCAGAACTCCTGTTTCCTGTTTGCTTCCTGACTGCAGGTCGGCAGCTTCACAGTTTCCGGTTTTTGTAACAGCCTCCACATTCTTGTCGCTCATTGGTCAGCCGCGGTGGCCCTGGGACTCTGCACCCTGGGGCCCTCACTTCCGCTGTGGGGTCTGACAGAGCCAGAGTGATGGCGAGCAAAACACTGAACCCATAAAAGTTGTTGTTGTTGTTGTTGTTGTATCAGGCTGATACTGATGGTATTTTTTAATTCGTAAAAAAATTAAACAAATATTTCTCTTTACACAAACTGAATAAGCCTTTATTTGTTTAAGTGGCGCTTCTATTTATAGCCTTCTATTGTTTCAGACATGAACAATTTGTCATATTTCATTAAATAAATGTTGTTGTTTTTTCTATTATGCTTTACTTTAGTCTATTTTATTTGGTATTTGTGTACGGTCAACATTCAGAGAGCGCATAAATAAGTGGAACCCGGGCCTCTGCTGCCCCCGTGTGGTCACAACCAGAACTGCAGCTCATTTTATTTACTGTATTTATTTGTTTATTTATTATCAAATACAGCCTTCATGTGTAGATGTGCAAATCTTGTATTGAATGGAACAGTGTTCTTATTTGATATATGGTACTGTGCAAAAGTCTTAAGCCTTCCCTCATGTATGTTTTGCCTCTGAGGAGCTAAACTTTCTTGTTATCGTTTATGCTTTCAGCTTCTACCTGACAAAACCACTAAATTCTATGAATAACAATGACAATGAGTTGTTGCCATGTTTATGTTTTCTGACATCTTGTAAGTGACTGCTTTTGCGTGCAGCTTCAAATATGAAGGTTGATTCGAATCTAAACTCAAAAACTCTCAGAAGTCAAGAAGGCTGCCACTCAAAGCAACATTTGTCGTCACTCACAGCTAAAGAAGTGAAACCAGGAGGGACTGAGTCAGCAGAAAACAGCAGCAGAGAAGCGTCCGGGGAAACCTCGGCCTGGAGACGGAGCACAATAAAAGCTGGCCTGTAGGCCGGCGAGTAAATAAATATTCAGAGATAAATGTCTGCCTGCGGTGCCTCTTCAGCATGGGAAAGGCGCGGGCAGGACAAGCACCCTTTGTCTGACTCTGAAGTAATCCAGCTGAGGGTGAAGGAGAGGTGCGCTTGAGGAAAGTTCTGCTGAAGGCGAGCTGCAGACTTTATTCAGCTCAGTTCAAACAACATGTTTTAGCTGCTCGCTGCTGCTTCCAGGAGTTTTACTTTTGTCTTTGTACAAGTCTAAATGTTTCTTAAAAAAAATTGAGCTGTTGGGTCCGATCACATGTCGAAACGTTCAGCTCGTTCAGGAGGTGGCTGCTGGGACCTTTGGTTACTGTAATCTTTATAGTTTTCAAAATATTTGGTTTACAAACGTTTTCCCTGTACAAATACATTGTAACCTTAAATTCCTTAAATTATATATATATTTTTCTTCTGCAGACTGACTCTGTTTGGCCTCCTTATGCTAATTTTAGCTTTTAGCTAGTCATTTTAGTTTTAGATTTCTGCCAGCATTTTGCTACTTTTGCTACTTGAACTTTTGCTATTTATATCAAACCTTTTGCTACTTTTTGCTTTTAGCCCCCCCGTTTTGACTTATTGTCTGCTGCTATTAGCATTTTTCTTCTCAAGTTTTGTTACTATTAGTTTTAGCTAAGTTTTTGATACTTTAAACTTTTTGTTAGCCTTTTGCTACTTTTAGCTTATACTGTAGGTACCTTTTGCTATGAAGTCTTTTAATTTTTTTAGTAAGCCTTTTACTGCCTTTGGCATTTAGCTATTTTTTTTTTTACTTTTAGCTTTTTCCAGCTTTTAGCATTTATGTAGCATTTTGATACTTTCAGCTAGCATTTTGTTACCTTTAGTCTTTAGCTAGGTGTTTACTTCTAACTTTTAGTAAGCCTTTTGCTAATTATAGCCTATAGCTTCTTTTTTGCTACTTAAGCTTTTGCTGTTTGTATCAAACCTTTTGCTTTTAGCTAAATCTACACCCCTCAATCCTACGTAC